CGGGGCCGGGGCTCGGCCGGGGCTCGGGGCTCGGCCGGGGCTCGGGGCCGGCAGCGCCGGGCGGCGGCGGGGGCGGCGGAGGCGGGCCCGGCCGTGCGGGCGCAGCACACGGCGGTGCGGGCGGCAGCGCCCCGCGCGCTCTCACCGCACGGCCTGGCCCCGGAGCTGCCGCCGTAGCCTGACGGAAAGAGAGGTTTCTGTTTCCTTTCTGGAGAAAGTTCTTGAATTCAGAACTTCGGTTGGCAGGTGCAAGCTAGTCAGTTTGTTACGACGGTGGTACAGTGGAAGAGAAAAACGCAGAGATGTTTGTGTTAAATGGTTGTCTTGGAAAAATGTGTGATTGGTTTTTTTTAGAAAAAAAGAAATAATTTCTTTCGGTGATTTTTTTGAAGTAGGGAATATATGCCCCTGGGAAAGGGAGAAGCAGGACATGGGTGACAGAGAAAATAAGGAGAGCAGGGAAGGGATGTAATGGGAAAGAGGGATTGAAATAATGAATAGTAATGGTAAATAACTTAACTGGGTACATCTTTTTTAGCACTATGGAGAAGGGGTTCTAATGAAATGACAACATATTCCAAAGTGACAAGGAAATTATTTACATAATGAATAATTAACCGATGGCACTTGTTGCTGCAGGGGAAGTTCGGGGTGAGAGCTGAGGCGAGGTTGCAGGCTTCCCTCGGGCTGGCTGCATGTGACACTGACCCTGGGCAGGCCCGCTGGCATAGAACAGTATTATGATAATTTAAAGTAGATAAAAGAGGAAGAAATGAAAGGCTTGCTAACCCCGTTCTCACTGCAATGGTGACAGGACTGCTGCATGTGGAAGGCTGGGATGTGCCACTGCAGAACCAGGGGCGTTGGGAGTCTGGGCTGAAAGCAGGCATGGGTAGTGGCCAGTCCGGGTGTATCCCACAGCTGCCTCCAGCCTGGTTCTCCTGGGTAGCGGGATCTGTAGTGTGCTCCCTCAGTCTGTCCTTGAGGGGTCTGTGGAGGGCGGGTGAATGTCCCGTTGCGTGTTGGTGCGATGTCCCAGCCGTGTCCTGCTGCATCCCCGCATCGGGTGCTGCTCTGACTCCCCTGTCCTCAGCCGCCTGTGCTGGAAGCCTGGTGTGGAAGGGTGACATCCAGGAGATGGTGACGGGTGCCAGCAAACAGCTGGAACACGCCCTGGCTGCTGGGAGGTGCTGCCCTGCAGGGCCAGGGTCTGGCTGCCCAGAGCAGACAGGCTGTAAATCCAAATGGTTTTGCCCTCACTGTCCAGGGGGGTTTCTGTGGCCACAGGAAGGTTCTTACACGTGGTGTAGATGAAGATCTAATGGCCAACTCAGATTAAATCATAGGCTTCCCTCTCTGTTTTTATTTTCTTTGAGTACTTGTTTTATTCTTCTGCTTCAGCATCAGTGGGGAGGTGGTAGTGATGCAGGGACGCCTGTGATTTGGGGGATGAGCCTCAGCACCTCTTGATTCCTAAATAGTGGATGATTCCTGCTCAGGAACTGGTGGATAATCTGCAGACATCATTTTCTGACACTGAGGAAGTCATGCGTGTTGGGTTGTAAAAGGCCTTGTGGTAACTGTTACTTTCAAAGGCTTAATGGGTGTTTTCCTTAGACATATTTTCGACGGGAATGCTGTAAACAGGCCAGCTAAGGCCAGCTCCTTAAGGTAAAACTGCAGGAAAAGTTCTGTTCCCATTCCTTATGATTTATGTTCATGCCAAGGATGATTTTTGCAACTATGAGTTTATCAGCAAATTCCTGTTACTACTCCTGCCAGGAGGGAAGGGAGAGGGAGGATCTGGAAGAATTCAATTGCTTCTCTGGGAATTCCTACACTTGAGTGTGTCCTGCTGTGCCCAGCCCTACACAGGGGGCTCTCCTTTCCCTTGCATGACTTGTGGTCTCCGCTGTTTGTGTGCCTTAAGGATTACAGCAGTTGCCTATGTTTATTATTTTAAAATTTAATTTTATCAACAATTATTTACTGTAAACTGTTTCCCAAGTTATGCAGCAAAGTAAACAACATTTCTTTCCTCCTACCCCATAGTTATTTAGCAAAAGAATAAACATGTAAATATGTTTGGGTGTTGTCCTTGGTGACATTTGGAGCCTGCTCTGCTGTGAATATGTGCAATTGCAATTCCATTAGTGTCAAAGAGAGTTCCCAGCAGGTAACAAAGAAAGAGAAGGGACTATTAAAACCCCGTTGTAGTTGTGATGAAACTTCAATACATCCTAAGATGAGAAAACACAGTTAATATACCGAGGTGCAAGGTGAAGGCTTTGTGTGATTCCTGTGAGGATTCTGGAGCCCACTCTCCCTTCACAGTCTGTGCAGGGGGAATGTCCTTGTCAGTACTTTGCTCAGAGTAAAAAGCCAGAGACAAATGTTGGCTTGCCCTGATCTGTGCATTCAAAACCAGCAGCAGGTTCTGCTGTTCTGAAGGAAGTCACTTCAATAGTTTCAGAGGCAGCAGCAGGAGAATGACAGCAGCACCCTGAGCTGGGCCAGGCTGACAGATACGAGGTTTCCCATGCCCATTGGGCAGTTTGATGTGTGCTGACCTCAGGGTGAAATCCCACTATCAGAAGAATTGCTTTTCCTAAGGGGTCAATTCATTTTTTTAAACGTGCACTTTCTGTCAATTTCTACCCTGTGAAATAGTCCATGTTTCAGATTATGTGCATGTAATTGTTATAGAATAATATTTTTATCCAAAATATATTTTTACTAGCTAGGAAGAAAAAATGTTTGCAATAGTTATAACCTATCCTCAGTAAAACATGACTCAAGTTTTCACAATTCAACTTGATTAAGCTTTTGGACGGAAAATTGCTGTAGTACAAATTAGTAAGAGCAGCAGCAGTGTGTAAGGTGACAGCACTTCTGTCACAAGGGTGCAAAATCCTGCAGTTTGAGTTCATTTTGGTTTGAATGTACAGGTTGTGCAGGAAAACTGAGGCAGCTGGGCCTGAGTTTTGTGTAGCCAGACTGTAATTCCCATGAGGCAAGTGCATGACCAGCATTAGCCCAGCCTGGGGAATGGGCCAGCTCAGCTTGGGTTTGTCTGTCCTTCCACAGCCTCACTGCCCCCTGGAGATGCCCTGGTCTGAGCACTCTGATAAAATGTATGACTCCTGTGTGCTCCTGGGACCTTTGCTTTGGGCAAATAGGCCAAGTACTTGTTTTCTCAGGAAGATATTTTGGTACATAAATACGCGTAGCTGAATGGAGTGAATTTCCACAGAAAAAAACCAGTAAGTACTAGATAGGCTGCATTATGTGCAGTCCTTTTGCTGCCTGCACAGCCCGCCTGGTTAGCCTGCCTGGGCCGGGCTGCCTTTATCAGCCCTCCCCGTGAATGCACAGGTGGCAGTTCGGCGCCTGCGGCGTGGCCAGGTTTTCCTGCGGGAAGTGTGCCTCGCTGGCCGCCCTGGGGCAGGCAGCTCTTGTAAAGGGATTTCTTTTCCCTTATGTAACTTGTTGGTCTTACATCCACAGTCGGCACTTGCAAAAGTACGTCAGTCTTGCTTGCAGTGGCACTGAAAAACCTTAACAGAGCGTGCACTGAATTCCCCCCTTATCTCTCTATAGCACATTTTATGTATCTTGTAGTGAGATGTTTTGTTTCTGCAGTTTCAGACTTCGTGTTTCAGAAGATTAATAGACTTAGCAGCCCTGTTTGCTCAGCTTAGCAGCGATAACAATGTAATAAGTCATGAGACGGTCGCAGATCATCCGGCAAGGCAAAATATGCCTTGGACTTGAACTTGGAGCAGGTATTATTTGCAGAGAAAAGTGAAATGTTGAAAGCATTATAAATAGTGTGTCCTGACTTGGGTGGCTGTGGGTTCAGGTCTGCTGCAGAGCCTGCACAGGAGATGTCTGTTGACATCTGCATTCCCCTCCGGATGGCCCGGGAGGGTGAGGGCAGCGTTTGTACCGTGCATGGCTGGGATTCACTGCAGCACGTACCGAGCCCTGGCGGAGCCTGGAGGCTGGAGGAGCAGGGCTGGGCCCCGGCTCCCAAATCCTCCCGCAGCAGCTCCGCGCATTCCTGCTGCCTCGCTGTCTCCCGCGCCAGCGAGTCCAACTGCGAGCAGTGAGTAAGGACTTGGGAACCCAGAGCATTTGTGGGCTCTGGGCCCAATCCTGCTTCCAGAGAAGTTAATTGGAATTTTTTCCTTCTAAAAAAGGGAGAGCAGTCAGAAGTGCCCAGCTCAGTGTGGCAGGGCCCTGGGCACTGCCGTGTGTGGTGTGTGAGCCAGGCTCTCCCGGCGGCCCGGCAGGGCTGGGCTGCGGGCAGCCGGAGCCCCCCAGCCCCGGCAGGGATGGGCTGCGGGCAGCCGGAGCCCCCCAGCCCCGGCAGGGATGGGCTGCGGGCAGCCGGAGCCCCCGGCAGGGCTGGGCTGCGGGCAGCCGGAGCCCCCGGCAGGGATGGGCTACAGGCAGCCGGAGCCCCCCAGCCCCGGCAAGGATGGGCTGCGGACAGCTGGAGCCCCCGGCAGGGATGGGCTGCAGGCAGCCGGAGCCCCCTGGC